AGTACTTGAAGAAATAATAGCTGAAGCTCCCTAAATTTGGCAACAGACAAAAACCTACAGATTCAAGAAGCTAAGCAAATCTCAAACTGCTTAAACCCAAGGAAATGCACACCAGATATCATGATCAGACTTCTGAAAACAAAAGACTGAAGGGGGAAAAAATCGAAAAAGCAGCCAGAGGCCCTGTGACTCAGTGGATTGAGTGCTGATCTGAGAACTGAAAGGTCACTGGTTTGATTCCCAGTCAGGGCACTTGACTGGGTTGCAGGCCAGGTCCCCAGTACAAGAGGGGCGCACAAGAGGCAACCACACATTGATGTTTCCCTCTCTTTATCCCTCCCTTCCCTTCTTCTAAAAATAAAATAAATAAAATCTTTAAAAAAAGAAAATCTTCAAAAGTCTAACAAATAATTCCCAAAATAACTGAGTTCAGAAAAGTCGCAGGTAACAAGATAACATATAAAATAAAACATAAAAATAAAGTTTTTACTCTGTGGAAGAGCTGGGTTAGGAGGACAAAAGGACAAGTTATAGAGTGGGATAATATTTGCTAGCCACACATTCAACAAAGAATTTTATATTATTTTATTTACTTATTTATCGAGAGAGGGGAAGGGAGGGAGGAAAACATCCATGTGTGAGAGAAACATTGCAGGCCCCCAGTGGGGGACCTGGCCCACAACACAAGCATGTGTCCTGACTGGGAATCAAACCAGCGACCTATTGGCTCACAGATGGGTGCTCAACCCACTGGGCCTCACCAGCCAGGGCTTAACAAAGAATTACTATGTCGAATATATAAGGAACTCTCAAAACTCAACAATTAAAAAAAAAAAAGCAAGCAATCCAAAAGGCATAAAGAGACATTTCAATGAAGAAGATAAGCATAGGCAAAGATGTTTAACATCATTAGTCACCAAGGAACTGCAAATTAAAACCACAGTGAGATGCCACCACACACCACACAGAGTGACAGTACCAGGTGCCAGTGAGGACGCACAGAACCTGGACTGCGCACACATTGTTGGTGGGCATGTAAAGTGGGACGGCCTTGCTGGGAGCAACTCTGGAGAACAGTGTGGTAGTTTCTTAATAAATGAAACATATAAGAACCAGAATTTGCCCTCCTAGGTATTTATCCCATAGAAATAAATACATGTTCACACAAAACCTGACCGTTACTTCCTGGGCCTTGGACACTAGTTAGGAGAAAGGAAACGGGCTCATCTCCTAGCCGTGGGCACTCTTCTCTCAATTCCTCTTTTCTTAGCCCTTTGCTCCATGGAATATCACACATACAACATTTTACCCAAACACACCTTGGCCCTCCACCAGCGAAATTCTTCTCCACCAACTCCTGCCCAACCTCCTACGGGAAGCTCTGCCGGACCAACACAGCCACAGCATTCTCCTTCCTACGGTCACTTAGTACTTGCTGCAGGGGTCCATTCCTGGAGCATCGGACCCACCTTGGGTCATGCTGCTGTTTCTGTACAAGAGGCTCAGGAACGTGTATGTGTGTAAGCATGTGCATATCTGTGTGTACGGATGTGCACGGGCACGGTGCCTGGAGCCCGGAGCCTCAACCTCCTCCCCCACCCTCACGGCACTCACCATTCAGAGACAGCCTCACCCCACCCTCATTCCCACCCTCTGGGGCACACACACACATCAAGCACAGCAGGCCCCAAGCACCACAGTGGTTTTTATTTAAAAAGCTTTATTGAGGTATAATTTACATACCATATGACTCACCAGTTTAAATTGTACTGTGGAATGGTGTTTTAGTATAAGCATAGAGTTATGCGCCCATCAGCACAATCAGTTGTAGGACATTTTCATCACCCCAAAAGAAACCCTATACCAATTAGCAGTCAACCCCACTTCCTCTGAACACTCCCACCCCAGCCCCTGGCAAACCCTGATCTTTATAGATTTTCCTACTCAGAAGAGTTTCTGTAAGTAGAATCATACAATATGTCATCTTTTGCAACTGTTATCTCTCACCATAATATTTTCAAGGTTCACCCATGTTGTTGTACGTGTCAGAACTTTATTTTTTTCCATGGCTAAATAATATCCCACTGTGTAAATACACATATCACTTTTGTGTGTCCATTCATCAACTGACATTTAGGATGTTTCCACTTTTTGGCTATTATTATTATTATTATTATGAATAATGCTTCTGTGAACATTGTTGTACAAATATTTTGTGTGAACATGTTTTCATTTCTCTTGGGTAAGTAGTAGAATTGCTGGGTCATATGGTAACTCTACCTTTTGAGGAACAGATTGTTTTCAAAAGCAACTGTAACTCTTTACATCCCCACCAGTGTCATAGGAGGGTTCTCATTTCTCCACATTTTCTTTTTGACTTTCATCCCATGAGTGAGAACGGGTATCTCTGTGCAGTTCTGCTTTGCATTTCTCTAATGACTAGTGGTGTTGAACGTCTTTTCACATGCTTTTTGGTTATTTGTGTATCTTCTTTGTCTATTCTCAATGTCTGTTTATATTCTCTGACAATTTTCTAATTGTGTTGTTTTTTTATTATTGGGTTGCTTACAACCCTAACCATGGTAGATATTAAGCAAAAGCTATTTGGAGCTGTTTTGCCCAGAACTAAAGTCTGTTTGCAGAGACTCTGAAGTTTGGCCCCTGGTCACAAAGCTTTCTGTTCTCATCTCCCACAGCCCTGCCCAGCGGGTGTTCCTCACTCAGCCCCCCCCCTCACCCAACCTGAGCAAATCAGAACATACCCCTCTGCACAGATGAGGAAACTGAGGCTCAAGGTGGAAAAGAACTTGCTCAAGGTCCCATGACTGGTGATAGTAGAGACCGCCTCAAATTCAGGGTTGTCCAACTAAACTTTCTCCACGGCACTTCCCTGCACACTTGTATGCCCCGGCTTGGTTGTTTTCTGGTTTACCACACACTTATATCATTTTCATTCTCGTCACAGCCCCATGAGGTGAGTCATGTAGACATCATTTCCTTCATTTTACAGAGGAAACTGACCCTAAAAGAGGTCGCTTGACTTTCTCTAACCTCCCAGCTAGCAAGAGACAGCTCACAGCACCCCACCCAGACACAAGTAGCAGGGAACCCACTCTCTGTCCAAAGGACCTGACCTCAGCCCTCGGAGAAGCCTAGCCACACTGCCTAGGGGGTCTACCTTACTTCTGGGCCAGAGCCACCCCCACTAACCAGGAAACTAGCAGCCAGCAGTCCACTGAAATGGACCTAGGCTCCATGAACTTCCTCCAGGGCAGCCCCCACCCAGCACCAGCTAGGCCCTCAGGTCGGGCGCTCCCAGCCCTGCCCAGCCCAACCCCAGGAGGCCCCACCCAAGACCTTTGCCCTTGCAAGAAGTAGGACCCTGGTTTCCTGGGCCTCTGGTCCTATTTACCTTCCTCTATTACCCCAGGGCTTGGGTACTTATTGAAAAGGACACAGGATACATGCCTGGTATTTGAGATATGTGGAGAAAACTGGAAAAACCCCTAGGTCTGGCTAAATGAGGTTCTTTATCTAGCTTGGAAGTGCACTTGGTTCCTACTAGAATACAAAGCCTTCTGATTCAGGTAACACAGCAGTGTCCCATTCTCAGTCATTTGTGCCCATCAGAGGGTCTGAGCAGGCAAGGTTGCAAGAACATAAGAAAGTGATGCCCTTCCTTCCTTCGAGTCGGGAAACTAACTTTCTCTTGAGTACCCAGCACTATTCTAGGCATTGTTTGTGGACATTCTGGCTGTCCCAGTGGAGCTGACATACTGGAACAGAGAGAGAGAATAAAAAATAAATAATAGAAATACAAAGTATGGTAGGTGGTGTTAAATGCTAAGGCGAACATAAAGTATGAAGAGGACGGAACACCGAGGAGCGAGCAGTAGTCATTTTAAATAGCGTGGATGGGGAAGGAAGGCCTTGCTGGGAGCAAAGAGCTGAAAGGGAGGGGTGAGTCCTGTGGATATCTGCAAGTGTCTCATTGTCACCCGCACAGGGGGCCTGAAGTGGGAGCTTGTGTTATACTGGGGGAATAGCCAGGAGATGCAAGAGCTGGAATGAGGGGAAGAGAGAATACAGAATATTGAGGCGGGGGGTGGGGGGAAGGTTAGAAGAGACAGACCAGTCAGAACCTCCAAGGCCAACTCTGAAGGGCTCCAAGAAGGGTGAGGGATAGCCCAAGTATAGGAGCAAGGGCATTGCAAGCATACGTCTAGGACGTCCCACTTTTGCCCAGATCAAATCCCTTTCACCACCATTTCATTAAGATGGATACCAGCAACGACTCGGAGCCTAGAGGGAGGGACGACAGGGCTCTGTGAGGGGAGGGGACTGAAAAAGGAGAAGGGGACGGACTTCTGGGAGGGACGGCGGGACGGGGGTGGGGGCGGGGGGCGGAGAGCGGCTCAGCTAAAGAGATCCAGAGTCACTGGGAGGGGTAAGAGTTGAGAAAGCTCTAGCGGGGCTGGAGGGAAATGTTAGTTCAGCACTGACCCAGGGGCGTCTTTTGGGTGCCTCTGCAGGCTGTCCCTGGCTACAGAGTCCAGACCTCCAGGGCTGGCAACCCCATGGGCCTGAATCGGGCCGGAATGCGGCGCCGCGTGGGCCGCCCCAGAGGCAGGAGGGCAGAGCAGGTTCGCAGCCGGTCGCGCGGAACAGCCGCGCCCACGCTGCCCCTTCCAGCCCCCGGGCATCTGGCGCTGCCGGCGGCGCCCCCTTCCCCGCGCCGCCCGTGTCAAGGACGTCGAAAAATGTGCGCGCTCGAGCCACACAGACTGTGACCCGCGCTCCAACCCCGGCCGGGCGCGGGGAACTGGTCTCCGAGCCGCGGCGCAGCTGCAGCGAAAGCAGCCGGGGCCCGAGGCCAGGCCCCGCCCCCGGCCGCGCGGCCCGCCAACCCCCGAGCGGAACGCCGCCCTCCCCCGCCCGCGCTGCGTCCAGGTGGGATGCGGGGGCCACGTCACTGTCCCCAGGTCCCGGAGAACGCGGCTCCGCCCCCGCCGGAGCGCGGGGCACGAATCTAAGACCAATTGGCCCCAAGTCAGGGCCAGCTCAGTCGCCGCCGCCCGCCCACAAAGCCACAGGCAGGTGCGGACGCGGCCGCAGCGCGAGCAGTCAGCGCGGAGCCGTTAGCGAGCGCGCGGTCGTCCCTCCGTCCGTCCGTCGGGGCGTCAGACCGTCGGCGCGCCGCAGTTCCTGCCCAGGCCCAGCGGCCGCGGCCCCTCGTCGTCCCTGCACCCGGAGCCGCCCGGCAGAGCGGGCTTTGGAGCGGCAGCCATGTCCATGGGCCTGGAGATCGCGGGCACCTCGCTGGCCGTGCTGGGCTGGCTGGGCACCATCGTTTGCTGCGCGCTGCCCATGTGGCGGGTGACGGCGTTCATCGGCAGCAGCATCATCACGGCACAGATCACCTGGGAGGGCCTGTGGATGAACTGCGTGGTGCAGAGCACCGGCCAGATGCAGTGCAAGGTGTACGACTCGCTGCTGGCGCTGCCGCAGGACCTGCAGGCGGCCCGTGCCCTCATCGTTGTCGCCATCCTGCTGGCTGCCTTTGGGCTCCTCGTGGCGCTCGTCGGCGCGCAGTGCACCAACTGCGTGCAGGATGACACTGCCAAGGCAAAAATCACCATCGTGGCGGGCGTGCTTTTCTTGCTGGCCGCCCTGCTCACCCTCGTGCCGGTGTCCTGGTCGGCCAACACCATCGTCCAGGACTTCTACAACCCCCTGGTGCCGGATTCGCAGAAGCGCGAGATAGGCTCTGGCCTGTATGTGGGCTGGGCGGCCGCGGCGCTGCAGCTGCTGGGGGGTGCGCTGCTCTGTTGCTCCTGCCCGCCGTCTGAGAAGAAATATGTGCCGGCCAAAATCCTCTACTCGGCCCCGCGCTCCGCTGGGCCAGGCACGGGCACCGGGACAGCCTACGACCGCAAGGACTACGTCTGAGGGGCAGCCGCGCTCCACCAGCCCACGTGCTGGTGCACCCACCAGTCCAGCGGGCCGCCTTGCATCGGAGACCAGCCTAGCCCAGATGTCAGACACCCCTTCGCTGAACTTCGAGGGGCCGGCCTGTCGCCCCCTTCCCGAGCTGCCACACCCTCTGCGGGCAGGGAACGGGACAGTGGAGCCTGGGGACCGGCCTGCATAGACAATGAAACCTCCCCCTCTGGAGTTCGGGGTAGGGTGGCCGCGGCTACTTGCCCTCACCCTCGGGCCCCGAAGCCCTTGTTGGGCAGGCACCGGCAGCCTTGAAATTCTTCAAGGCTACTTGATGTTCTTCAATAAAAGCCTTTCGTTTTGCAGTTGCCCGTGCGCCTCCTTGCCCTGAGTGCCAGGGCTGCGGACAGGTTTCCAGCCCCCTGCAAAGGCTGGTTTGGGCTGGATTCTGCCAGGGATGAAGCCTAGAGAGGGACAGAGGTTCAGTAACCAAGGAAGTGAGGTTGTAAACTGAACTGGGTGCTGTCTGGGTGGCCATTCGGCCCAGTCACCGGGGATTCAGCCGATTAAGGCCCAATCTGGAGAGGCAGGTGTGGGCCCTTCCAGCGTGTTGTGGCAGAGAGAGCCATTGGGGTCGGGGGAGGTTGTCATGGACTCTCTTCTCCACACTGTGACTTCTGGGTTTGTGCTTGGAGCACCAGTGTTCCACAGCGCAGCTGTGCGCCAGAATCTCCCCTGTGCTGCATGAAAGAGCACATTCAATGCTATGATTTCATATTTGGAAAAGGCGGACAAAAAGACCTATTGTTTTTGTTTTTGTTTTTTACCAAAAGTAATGCTGGGCAGAATCTTTTCACCTGGGGGAGAGATGACAGAGGGGCCTGGTTTTCTTCCTGGGATCCTCCAGGGAGGGAAAGAGGGGAGACTCAGAACTCTGGTGGCAATGTGGTTCTGGAGATAAACAAGTTTTGGAAGCACTGGCATCTCGGAGAAGGTGCAGGAGGTTCAGGCAGTGGGAAGGTGGGCCCGTGCCCAGGGCCAGGAAAGAGAAATTCCACATGGCTGGATAGATAGCAAGGTGAGAGGGGAAGTGCCGATGAGGCCCAGGGACACAGAAAAGACGAAGGTGTGGGGAGCTTCCTGGGCGGAATGACAGACTTTGGACCGAACTCTGGTGTTCTGGGAGTCATGGAAGGGATGCGCGTTGTCAGAGTTTTGTTCTAAAATAAGCTCTCCAGCAGCCCCTGCAGAGCTGGGGTTTAAGGAGGCCAGTGAAAGCGGGAGACCATCTAAGAGGCTAGCCAATCTAGTGAGATGACGTGGGCCGGAAATAAAGCAGGGACAGAGGGGCTGGGAGCAAGGCCTAAGGGGGGCTGCTAAGAGAGCAAGATGAACAGGTCTTGAGAACCATTTGGATGTGTGAGGTGGGGAAAGAATTAGGAAAACCCCAATTTTCCACCTTAGGTCATTGATTGGATGGCGGTGCCATTTACCAAAACAGGAGACCAGATTGCTGGGGGGAAATGTTGGGTTCAGCTTTAAATGTACAGAGTTTGACAAGCCTGTAGGACCTCCAGGCAGAGGTGTCCAGGAAGTGACCGGGCATTTATAGAGCTCCGGAACTCAGGAGTGGTAAACTTGGCTGTTATCATCACACAAAAGGGAACCGAAACCAGGTAGTGGATGAGGTCAGTCTAGAAACCAAAGGGAGAGTTTCTAGAAGGCGGGTATCGGCCACGGTGTCTGAGGCTACAGAAGTGGTCATGCAAGATGAGACCTGAGGAGTAGCTGTGAGATTAAAAACTTCAGGTGGCCCTGGCTGGTGTGGCTTAATGGATTGAGTGCTGGCCTGCGAACCAAAAGGTTGCTGGTTCGATTCCCAATCAGGGCACGTGCCTGGGTTGAGGGCCAGGTTCCCAGTTGGGGGCATGTGAGAGGCAACCAATCTGTTTCTCTCCCTCTCTTTCTCCCCTCTTTCCCCCTCTTTATAAATCAATCAATCAATCAGTCAATAAAATAAAAAACCAGAACATGTAGATCTTGCATCCAAGGGGTTTGCTTATAAAAGGAGTCAAGACCAAGTTAGCAACCTGACGGGAAGGGACAGCCCCAGGACAGGTATTTCAGACTGGGGAATCTTGGAATTGCTTCAAAGTGACTGTATCTCAAACTTCTTTGCCTGAAGCAAAACTGAAACAAAAGTTCCCAGTGGCAGTCAGATCTTTCAGTAGAATACTTTACTTAGCTTCCAAAAAATTCCCCTCTGGTTAGAGAACTCCAGACATGCTGTCGCCCTGTAAGGCCCAAGGAGGAGAAAGCAGATTACTATGAATAGTAAGAGTAACCTACATCACCCTCGCTGAGATTCAGGAAAGGACTTGGGGCTGTTGTTACCTCTCTCCAGCCAGTTCCCCCTGGAGAACCACTCTTCTAGCCTGCAGGGGAAGGAAAGAGGGAAAATGAACAAATATAAAGCTGAGGGGGACAAGTGATGGAGATGGGTCCTACGGAGAGCTGGAGAGGGGATGTGGGCTCAGAAAAGCAAAGGAGCTCAGTGGGTGGGTGGGGGGCAGTCAGTGAGGGGGAGGGTCAGGGAAGGAGGAGGCTTAGCAATAGGTGAAGCAGAGGAAACAGAGGAGAAATGTTCTCCGGGCCTGTCATGGATGGGATTTGGGGGGTGCACAGAGCCAAGGGGTTGCATCTGACTTCATCCCCATAGTCTCTGGCCAAAGAGCTAGGTTGGGCCAAATCAGAACTGAGGGGTACCAGGTGGCTTCTTGGTCCCAGAGTGCCCTGCAGGCAGGAATAAGGTTACTCATTTACCACTTGCTTCAAGAGAGCAGCATGGACACAACACTGCGTGTGGCAGAGCTGGAGCCTGAGGCCCAGAGCCAGCTGACCCACCCCCAGCAGCCCCAAGCCAGAGAGATGTGGCAGAGAAGGGAGGCAGAACTGACTGACCCTCAGCCCTTGGGCAGGGTGGGAAGGGCTGCAGAGCCTCAGACTTCCCCCTGGTTCCCAGGTTTCTCCCCAAGCCTGGGCTTCCCTGGGACCTCCTGAGTGGTAGTGAGGTATCCTACTCTATTCTACATGCCCCCAACAGGCACACCCATCCTTGCCTGGCTTCAGGATCTGTCCTCATTCATCCTATTCTTATCCCTTCTGGAGTCAGGGTCTTAACAGAGTTGGTGGAATTTTCAGCACACTGCATTTTCAGCATGAGCTGAGGAGGGAAATCTTCAGACGGCTGGAGAAGAAAAAGGCATTTGGTGTGAAGGAACACTCTGGACTGGGACTTAACTGCGTTCTGGATCCGCTCCTTTTCCTGTGTGACTCTGAGCAATTCCCTTCCCACTCTGGCTCTCAATTTTTCCATCATTTCAATAAGGGCTTGGGACCAGATGATTCATGACGGCCTCTCTAACTTTCTTTCCATCCCCATTTTCATCCTTATCACCTCCTGCAGAAAGAAATTAGAACCAAAGGGACCAGGAAAGCAGTCCAGTTTATTCCTCCGAACCTTGGTTTTCTCATCTTACAAAATGGGTATCCTAATAGCACTGGGCTGCATCGAGGATTAGCTGAGTCATCTTCTGGGTTCCCATGTAGCCTACTCTCACCCCATCTCAGCACATGCTACACTATGTTGTTTTGTTTTGCTTCTTGTCAGATTTCCCCAACAGAAGGTCATCCAAGGTCAGGGGCAGTGGCCTGTGTTTCACTCTGTCTGCAGCACCCAGTTCAGGCCAGCGCGTAAAATCAAGTCAAGCCTGTGTACATGAAAAGCACCTGGCACAAAGCTAGGCATACAGTAGGACCTTAATTAAGGTAAGTATTGTTAATATTTTTGGTGTATTCAGCCAGGCAGGCACCTGGAAACATGAGGGAGACGGCCAGGTTGTGAGAAAGTTCCAGGATTTCGTAGCAGTCCCCAGCCCTGAAGCACACTGCCAGGCCCTGGGGCTCTGTCCCACCCACTTTCTGCTCTTTTGCCGCAGGCCTCCTAGGTCCTGCCACACCTGTTCCAGCTCTTCCTCCTGCTGAGACCAAAAGCCAAGTGCTTTATCAAACAAACAGCATTTATTATGGCTCCCTCAAGGTCTGCAGGAGGCAGGGAAGAACAGACAGTACCTTCCTTCTCCCTCCCCTACCAGGGCTCCATTAAAGGTCATCCATACCAAGGCAAGTATGCTGTGCAGCGCAGGCAAAGAAGAGAGTGAGGACAGTGGCTCTGGTGCTCACTGAGGGACCTTGGGCAAGTCACTGGCAACCTCTCATTCTCATCTGTAAGAGAGGTGACACTGTCCCTGCGATCCCCGTAAGGACCCTGTCATGTAGGCGTTACATGGGGAGGCCAATGATGAGACATCAGCCTGGAAGGGAGGAAACTGGAGCCATGGAAACATTTTTGTCCAGTAACTCTCACCTCCTTGGGGTCTTGGGGTGTTCCCCTATATCTCTGGTTGTGGGAGATGCAGCTTTTCCTATTGCTTAAGCCAGTCCAACTTGGGGGTTCCAATCAAAGGCTTCCCAACCAGTACAACTTGGCTGCCACAAAAAGGAATCAAGTACAATGCCTCCTGTGAAGCAATCTTGCAGAAAAAGCAAAATATTAAATCAAACCTGAATCTGATCCATTTTCTAGATCAAGTGTCAATTTACACGCCATGCAAAGGAAAGAGGAACACAGTAACAGAAAATGCAATCAGCAAAATCCAGATGTGGAGAACTCTATGGGACAAATAAATGGGTTCTTTAACAAAAAAAAATTCAAGGGAAAAAAGGGAGATACAGGGAGACGTATAGATCATCAAAAGAAACTTAAAGACATATCAACAAATCACAGTTGTGGACCTTAATTGGTTCCTGATTCAAACTGGGAAAAAAGTTTATGGCATTTATGAGACAATTAGAAATGTGAACACTAAGTGGATCATCGATAACAGAGCCACTTTAAAATGGAGCCGGAGCCGCAGTGCCAGAGGAACTGCCTTACCCGTCATACACTTCAAACCTTGGAGTGTTAGAACAGGGCAAAATCACTTTAGGACCGGGCCTAAGCAAACTTGTGCCTCCTCCCCCCACCCCCAAAAAACTGCTTGCAAAGATAACAAGAAAGCAGCTATTGTGACTAGTGGACTGATGGCTATGGGACTAAACATTAAAAACATCATTTAGAATGAATATCACTGTGCTATGTTGTCTTCCTTCTACTGATGGAATTGGTCCCCTTCTTCTTCTCCTAAGTACCCCTGGCCTTTGTTCCCTAGTTGGAACATTATTTGGGCTTCTGCCTGAATTACTGATTCCTGAACAGCTGTTCTCATTGATCTCAAATAAATGCTTGTTTGCCTCTCACTTTGAA